ATAGCCCAATAGATGGGTGGGCGCAGGAGAGAGTGGTGAAGACTTGGGATTTTTTGCGTTTTTTTGGTAAGAGGGGCAGTACGACTCATCATTCCACGTAGATGATGCAGCTTCTTTGCTCATAAATTCACCTCTGTGCTCATGTCTGCTGCCATAGTTTGACCATGTTCTTCTTTGGTAATTATTTTAGGGATTTTGGGCGTGTGGTGGTCGCAGGCAGCGTTGGAGATTCCTCATCTCGACCAGCCCTTCCATGGCTTGGTAAAAGCACTGCGACAACAGCTGCGTCTTAACAGCATGACAGATCAGTGTAGTGCATCAGTTTTGAGCACATGCAACAAGAGTGTGTAGACTTCAACATAATTACGACACTCCTACTTAGCAAACAACCCCATAGATCTAATTTTGAGTCTCTCCGCAGCTCCGAATCAGGGAAGATGTGATTGTACACACCCCTGTGCAACAAAGTACGATCTCGCAAAGACGGTCTTGGTTCACCCTTCGCTCGTAGCAATTGCTAACCCTATTCGACCCTATGTCTGGAGGCATTAATCGCTATATGATCTGACGAACCCAGTGACGGGTCCGTGTTCAAAGCTTTATTAATGCTACATATGCCGCTCAACGAAGGAGATGAAGACGCATCCTCAGCATCGCCAGCCGTACGCGAACGAAATTAGTAATTTGGATCATAGTCGTACACACCAGAAGGTTCCTTGAAGAGGAAGTCAAGCATGCCACGATGCATCTCTGTCTTCTCACTCAATCTCGGGTTTCTCGGCTCCACACCCACATTCAAAAGCACCAAACCCCACTCTATCGCATGCCGTAACGTGTCAAGACTTATCATGTTAGGGGTACCTTCAATTTCCGCATGTGTGGCTTCCTCTCCATTCTCCTCTGCTGCTTCACTAGCGACTATCCTAGCAACATTTTTAGCGATGGGCACAACCACATCGCGCAGTGTTTCAAGCACTGTCCTTTTGTTATCGCGCTTGAGCGTCTCCGATGGATCCTGTTCGTTGTCGTTGTCGTACCTATAGACGTATGCTTCTGGGGATGTACGTTTGCGAATACAGGTGGAAAGATAGCGCCAAGCGTGTAGTTGGGGCAGATTTGCTCGGAATTTCACTATAGACTCGGGTTTCCAGTCGTTGATGATCTGGTCCACCGAACTTAGAGCATCGCGGTCTGCTGCGCCTGATACAGGATATCTGGATTTGGATTTCCAATCGTTGATGACCTTTGCCAACTCATCTTTAAAGGCGCCAGCGTCGTCCGTCTTGCGCCGTTTCCGTGGTGGTTCAACGGTCTGACCGAGAGCAAACTGTGCCCAAGTATCGCTCTCTTCTGGGGTATACGCGAGTTTGAAGTCGTCGACAATGGTGCCTTCTGGCTTCTTTATCTCATCGCCGTACATGCGGTCCAATCTGGCCAATTGATCATCGATGACTTTTCGCAATTTCTCTAGACTTGGGCGACCATCCGGGTCATATCGCAGACATTCCGAGACAACCTCGCACAGACCGACACTGTATTCTTTGGGAAGCTCGCTCAGGCGTCTTGGAAAGATCCCTTCCTTCTGGCTGACATTTCCTTTCTTGAGTTCATCATTATACACCCAAGTTTTGCATCTCTCATCGGCTTCGTCATAGAAGTCAGTACCTTTGTTATGAGCGACCATAAGTGCCCAGGTTGTCATAGCTAGACTCCAGATATCCGACTTCTCCGAGACAGTCCATCTTTCCGGGAACCAATCCAATTCCTTGAGCGCGGAATGCTCTCGTTCCTGTTGAAAGATGAGTATTGAGAGCACGAGGAGATACAGATAACTTACTGGGGGCTGCATGCCAGGCGTACCGTCGTATCTTCTCTCGTCTGTACCCTTCTCACAGGCAATGTCAAAATCAGAAACAACAATGTTAGGATATGCAGGGTACTTGGTATTAGCGGCCTGCAGGAATATGTTCGCATCCTTGATATCGGAGTGCACAATTGCCCGCCATGTCTCTTCTTGGTCTTCGGGTGCTGCATTCGGTGATGAGCAGGTACCATCCCGCAACGCCAGTAGTGCCTCAGTCACTTGGCTGAGAAAGTACCAAATGAAGTGCTCGGGCACAGGTCTCTCTTCTTTCTTATGCCCGTCGTGGATGCGTGCGAGAGTCCCCAGTTCAGCAAACGACGTGTATATGTTGTACAGATGTCCTTCTAAAACCTGGTTTCCTGTATGAGTACGGAGTGTTTTGGTAGATTTCCGGTGACTGTGGCCACAATATGGTATCATATGCGAACAATTGAGGGTACTGATTATCTGGTTCATATGAATCTCGTCCTCGGCGTCCTTCTTCTCTTTGTCTGATATTGCTTCCAGACATTTGACCGTGACGCGCTAGTGATAGGTTAGCACAGCTACCTGGCTATGTTTGTTAACCTTGACTCACATCCTCGATGACGCCAGTGCTGTTGGTTCGAACACATAAGTAGACGGACTTGCGAGGCATTGATCCCTGGCTAAAACGCCGCTTGCCATCCTCGAGCCGAGTCTGGTGCAAAGTCATTGCAAACTTCCAACGACCGTCGTCATGACTGTAGAAGTCTTTTCTCTGGCCTGCCGTAGGGCCCAAGAAGTGTTTGCGTTTAGGGTCATTCTGAAGGAAAAAGTTAGGCGACCGCTCACCGCTCGAGGCTTCCGATGATGCCACTGACGCATCATCGTTGTTGTCAGGCTGCGGTAATCCAGTTGGTACTGCTACTGCTACTACTGGAGGCGCTGGGTTAGGAGGAGCGGCTGGTGGAAGGGCTGGAGCAACAGCGCCTGGCGCAACTGCCATCGCCGCAGGTTGTCGGCCGTTATCTGTCTTGCCCAGCCAATGATTCCTCCTTGCGGTCCACAGCCTGTCGATACTCCCCCCTGTGTTTCTTCCGCGAAGATCTTTTCTCCGGTTAGCGATGACCTTCCGCATAAACGAAAGGAACGCGTTCCTCGTCCTGTTGTTGGTAAATCCATCATAGAGTGCTGCATCATCGACATCTATGCTGAAGTATGTGTCAAAACCGTTAATGTTGTCTTCCACCCGAGGGCGCCGAGCGTTCGCCATTGCACGTAGAACGTGCTGAGTGCCTTGGAACGTTACGGGGTATTATGTGAGGAGTTGCAAAACAGATTGCGCAAGCCTGCGCTCAAGTGAAATCGCATTTCCATTTCGACAAATAACGTCAAAGCCTCTTGTACTGCTTTGTTGATGGCCGTGAGGTGCTGGTTTGATGCGAAGACAATGGAATTGGGGGTGCGGAAGCAAGAAAGAACTCTAGGGGTCTTTACTTAGTAAGACGCTTTGTCGCATTTGGCAAGAGTTTCTGTTCAGAAGTAACCTTTAACTTTTGTTTCTCATGCAATTGATTTCGTTACCCTTTTAGCGTTCATATCTCCTGCTTCCACTCCTTGTTAAACGCCCGCCCAATAACCATTCTCCTCACCTCACTCGTTCCAGCACCGATCTCATACAACTTGGCATCCCTAAGTATCCTACCAACGGGCACTTCGTTCATGTATCCCATGCCGCCCATCAACTGCACGGCATCAGCCGCGACCTCGCTCGCCCTCTCTGCCGCATACAGGATGGCGCCTGCGCAGTCTTGTGTCTTGATATCGGGACTAGCATGCGACTCATCCACAGCGCGGGCAACACTGCATGTGAACGCCTGACTAGCACGATATTTCGTGTACATATCCGCCAGCTTCCCCTGCACAAGCTGATTATGCGCGATCGGCGTACCGAACTGCTTCCGCTGGTGTGTGTAAGGAAGGACGTTATCAAGCGAGGCCTGCATGAGACCCAGCGGTCCCGCTGAGAGTACAAGGCGTTCGAGATCCAGGCCCTCCATCAAGACGCGGACGCCGCGGTTGATCTCGCCGAGGACATTTTCCTTGGGGACGAAGACGTTCTCGAAGACAAGTTCGCCAGTGTTGGAGCCGCGCATACCCAGCTTGTCTAGTTTGTTCGCGACGCTAAAGCCGGGGGTGGAGGTCTCGAGGATGAAGGCTGTGATGCCCTTGGAGGCGGCATTGGGTTCGGTTTTGGCGTAGACGACTATTACGTGTGCGTCTGGGCCCTGTAGATGTCTTGTTAGCACATCTCCCTAGCAGTCTCATATATGAGCATAACAGGGAACGTACGTTTGTAATCCACATCTTGGTGCCATTAAGCAGATACCCACCATCCACCTCCTTCGCCGTACTCTTCATACTAACAACATCACTCCCAGCACTATGCTCGCTCATAGCCAGCCCACCAATCTTCTCCCCACTGATCAAACCAGGCAGGTATTTCTTCTTCTGCTCTGCATTCCCGTTCAACATCAACTGGTTGACGCACAATTGGCTGTGTGCCGCGTAACTCAGTCCTATGCTTCCGCTCGCCCGCGACAGCTCCTCCATGACGACACAGTGGGCTTGGTAGCCCATTGCCAGTCCGCCGAACTCCTCATCCGCGGTTATGCCTAGGAAACCCGCCTCGCCGAACTTCTGCCACATTTCGTTGGGGAACTCATTTTGTTTGTCTGTGCGAGCGGCGACGTCTTCGGGGATCTCGCGTTGGGCGAAGTCGCGGACTGAGTCGCGGAGCTCGTCGAGGTCGGATTGCGAGGGGGGTGTGAAGGCTTTGGGGTGCTTGGTCGATGCGTGGCGGACTGTTGTGGAGGAGATGGCGGCGCGAGGGACGCGTGTTTGCCGGATGCTGCGTGTGAAGAGGCGGGGGGCTAGGGAGGCCATTTTGACTGTGATGTAAACTGGAAATTGAAAGTTTAGAGGAAACTTGTCAAGAAAAGTGGTGAGATGTCTGACAATACCGTCTTGGGAGTTCGGTTTGCGACGGCTGATGGACCGAGGCACCTTCCTAACTGATGGATTGCGGAGGACCAGGGTCCGGGGAAGAGGGAAGCGGCGTAATTCCGCTCTCCCTTCCCATCTATCAACAAGCCTCTACACCTCCAACAAGCCCTCAAAGGTCCTTGACACGCTTCATCGCCCTGTCATTACACTCCCCCACATCCAGCGCGACCAGAAACCTACTCACAGCATTATACGCCGCAACCGTCGCCGTCAACTCCACAACCATGGTATCCTCCAACACGCCCTTGACCATCTCCGCAACCATATCTTCCACCTGCACACCCACAGTCATCTGATCCGTATAAACCATAACCGCATACTCCTCCTTACTGAACCCCAACAGCCCCTCCCTCTCCACCATCCCATGTTTTGTAACAGGTAAATCAAAGATAGTCTGAAGTACTTCTTTGGATACGCCTGCTTTCAATGCTAGAGCGGCATGCACGTCCCACTCGTGGACTGCGTGGTTTAGTACTGCGATGCGGCTTATGGCTAGCTCTTTGAGATTGGCTGGTAAGCTGGTTTGCGTGCGGATTGCGCCGATGAATGAGTTCCAGCCGTCTGCTACCGCGGGGTTATGTAGGAGCGCAAGGTCGAGTGGGATGAGGGGGCGCGGCTTTCGTCGCTCGGCGATGCGCTCGTAGACTGGGCGGGCTTCTTCATTTGGGGGCTCGCTTGGGGCGTAGGGGACGCGCATCTTGAATGTAGTTGTAGAGCTGAAGGGTCGTAAGTGGATGGTGTGTGGGATGAGTCGAGTCTGAGAGCGGACGGTTGCTAGGTATGGGCGGAGGAACATTGGATGCGAGGAAGCAAGGAAAGAGGGAGATTATATATCATTCTTGTGCATATGCAGGGACTATCACGGATATACTTTCCGGTATACGGAATAGCAAGGCATGGCACTGGTGAGCAATGCTAGTTGTTCAGATAAAATTGAGTAAATCAGGTTTTTGAAAGATCATTCGATCAAAGATTCATTCATGCGTAGTTTTCCAAAGATCCCACTGTATGAAATATATACATGTTCAACACCACAAAAGACGAACTAATCTACAGTCTGCTCTGTTCATCAAAGACATTCGGTAACCTAGGGATACCTTCCAATCTAGTTGTCTTCTTACCCGCTGGCGCAAGTGTAACATTGTATGTCAAGTCGAGCTTCGCCTTGGGGTCCTTGCTAGGCTCAAAGTCTAGCAGCAGGTCGTCCTTGACGGCAAAGACAGTGTCGTTCGTGACCCATTGGTCGTCACGGGGGTATAATTGTGTGATGAGCGGCTTGTAGTTCTCGGCTGAGACCATGAGATGAATGTGTGCGGGACGGAAGGGGTGGCGGTCGAGTGTCTTGAAGAGTTGGCCAGCGGCGCCTGTTGTGTGTTAGTCGTGCTCATACAGTCTCTTTAGAGGATGACATACCATCGGTAGGCAGCGAGTACGCTGTTGGCTTGTAGCAGTAGTACCAGTACTCGCCCTTCTCGTTTGTGGTGAACTTTCCGCGCAGGTTGTTGGGCTCCTGGTTCTCGGGATCTTGGAAATCGTACTTTCCGTTTGCGCTCGCTTGCCAGATGTCGATGACGGCGTTGGGGATGCCCTTCTTGGTGTCGAGATCCATGACTACACCGTGCATGAGAGTTGTCTGGCCATCAGGATGCGGGTTCCGGATGATGGTGTCGCCGAGGTCACGGAATGGCGAGTGTGGTGACCAGAAGGGGCCGAGGATTGTGGAGGAGGTGGGTGTCTCGCCAGACTCGTTGATGTGCTTGTGTGCGATCTCGTCGACCAATCTGTATTCATGTCAGCTTGGGCTCTGAATTTATACAGGCTCAACAACTTACGATTCTACACCTAGCACATCTGAAATACGATGCGCCTCGTTCCTGGTGGCTGTTGTGGTCTTGCCAATGGAGTTCACAAATCGCACGCCCTCAAACCACTCCTCGTTGGTAAGCTCGACCTCGCGAATGAAGTCGTGAAGATGTCTGATCAGCTTGCCCATGACAAAACGCGTCCGGTCTGGCACATTTGGTCCAATAGCGTTGATGACGGCGTCGGTGAAGTTAGGGTCGAAGCGGTGCGAGCCATTTTCCTGAACCTCAGGCGCTGTCTGTGTGTTTGGGTCCATTTTGGATGTGTAGGTATATAGGGAATCAAGGTACAAAGGGTATCAAAGGGCTGGTGAAGGGGAGTAGTACGGAATAGACATCATGCCTGGGAGGCATGAGCTTAATAAATAGTAACTGAATTCTACCGCCCGCAGCCAACCGAACCGATACCGTTGACAATGGCCGTCTCTCTAGCCGCGGATCAGGCGAGACCTTGTCAGAGCTGTCTGGCGGCATGCTGTACCGGCTTTCAAACGTACTATGAGCGCGAGGAGCTACAGTGCCGAAGGCTGCGCCAGGTCGCGACGGCTGCCCCGCCTCGCGCTGGGCGGGTTGGCGAATTAAAAGGGAGCCGATGTGGAAGAAGTCTTACCCGGCCTTTTTCCCTCGCGATTTAGCGTCATCAGCACTAATTCCCCGCCTTCGGCGCAGACCCCGGAAGTCTAGAGACGCGACGCGATGGCTGAATTATTGCAAGGCGGAGGGAGTATTCGGCATACATCCCAGAGTGACAGCTTTTGCTGCGAGCTGTTTGTTTACACCAAAGACACGTTCCGTACAAGGAAGCAACCACCAACATGGTCAAGCATCACCTCATGATCGGCACTTGGACGCCGCCAGGTGTGATCATCACAGTCGCATTCGATGATGAAACATTGAAGCTGGAGTTGGTGAAGAAGACGGAGATCCCAGAGGATGAGCCCATAAGCTGGATGGCTTTCGACGTATGCGCGCAATTTCTGGACCTCGATGCGACCAACGATTGCTAATGACTAGGATAACAGCACAAGAGAAAGAACATCTACGGTGCTTCTATGAAGAAATGGAGCTCGCACGAGGTCAAGAGCCCGAGTGAGATTGTACACACAGGAAGCTTTCCCATGGGCGGACATCGTAAGCGACACAACATCAACACAGGTTGCTGTTACTGACAAGTTCCACAGCCAAAGCGAATGATGCCGACACCAAGACGCGTGCGATCTTCCTCCTTCCCGCCCAGAAGCCACCGTATGCCGTATACTGCAACCCTTTCTACGACTATGCTGGCTACGGCAACATCTTCTCAGTCAACCCGGAAGGTCACATCAAAGAGAACATCCAGAACTTCGAGTATTGCGAAAAGACTGCCATCCACGGTATGGTCTTCGACGCCTCAGAGACACATCTCTACAGCGCGGACATGTGGGCCAATCGGGTCTGGTGCCATAAGAAGATAGATGACGAGGGAAGGCTTGAAACAGTAGGCTTCACTGAGGCACCTGCTCCGAAAGACCATCCAAGATGGGTAGAGATGCATCCGTCGGGCAACTATCTATATGCCTTGATGGAGGGAGGGAATCGGTTGTGCGAGTACGTGATTGATCCGCAAACCAAGCTGCCTGTCTATACCCATAAGACGTACCCATTGATCCCACCTGGCAAGTCAACCTCCTACTCCCGACCCTGCCAGTAGCTAACTATATCTCTCAGGTATCCCCAATGCAACCACTATGTACCGCTCCGACGTTTGCTTCCTCACCAAATCTTCAAACTACCTCTTCGCGACCTCTCGATCCAACTCCTTCTCCCTCACCGGTTACATTGCAGCATTCAAGATCGCTCCCTCAGGCGCCATTGAGCGACAAATCTGCCTCAATCCTACACCGACGTCTGGCGGCCATTCGAATGCAGTATCGCCGTGTCCTTGGTCCGACGAGTGGTTGGCCCTGACAGATGACGAGAAGGGTGGCGTGGAGATATATAGATGGCAGGATGAATTTCTAGCAAGAGTTGCGAGATTGGAGATTGGTGAGAAAGGCTTTGGTATGAATGCTATTTGGTACGACTAGATCGATACACAATACTTGGGCATAGAGGATCCGTGGGTAGCATCAAGAGAAATAGCATCACGAAGCTACCTAGGTAGCATGATTTCTGGTGTGGGTGAGTCTGCATGCATTGATGGTCCTCCACGTCCCGAAGCGTAGCGTACACGCGTGGCAGCGGCGGGTCTGTGTTCAGTCTCGGAAGAATGAGGGGCAGCGGTACCGCCGTCGCCCGAACTAACGCCAGCCGGCAGATGCCATCGGGGGAGCTCTTCTTTCCCCAACTTCGTCATGGCCTGCACGAGATAATTGGAGTAGTATAGTCGCAACCATCGAATCTAATCGTTTTCCAATCTTCCATTTCCACCCAGTCGTCTCTCATCTACTTGCGACACTTACACTGAAGGTTACAGCTACCCACACAACAGATACAATGGCAGCCAAATCAACACCAGGCATTTTGTACGTGACGATGCAGCCCAAGGAGGGCTTGCCTGAAGCACAGTTTCACGATTGGTAAGTTGACCCCTCCGCAGTCGCATCCTTGCCACTTCACGATCACACCTGACACTCTTCCCTCCAAGGTACCAGAACGAACACGGCCCCAATCGTCTGCGCCTCCCCTTTTGCAACAATGGCTTCCGCTATCGCGCCACGGATCTCGAGAGCGCGCCTGGGTCTAAGGACAAGCCAGAATGGATGGCCATCTACGATTTCGACGAACTCGAGTGGCTCACTAGGGAACCGTACACGAAGCTTCGAAGCGCACCGGTGCAATCGCAACGAGAACGCGATACTATGAAGCAGATCTTTGTCGACAGGCGATCTTACGATCTACTCGGGGAATGGAAGGGTGGAGACTTCAAGGACCTGCAGAAAGTAGAAAACGAGGGAGAGAAGAACGTGATGATAGCCGTGAGCTTCGCACTACACGAGGGCGCAGACAAGGAAGAGGAGCTGAAGAAGTGGTACGACCAGGAACACGTACCTCTTCTCCAGAAGGTGCCAGGCTGGAGGAGGACAAGGAGATTCGTAACATCATACCTAGATCTGGAGAGCGAACACAAGACCGAGAAAGAGTACCTCGCGCTGCACGAGTACGCGCCCCAGAATGGGCTAGGAGGACCAGAGTTCAAGGCTGCTACTACGACGGAGTGGTGCGATAAGATCTACAAGGATGTCGTAAAAGACAGGAAGAGGAGGGTGTACGATCTCTACTACACCTTTGGTGCTGCACAGCGCGACCTCCAAAGTCTGGCGAGTAAAGACACAGTACCAGCAGAAAGTTCAGAAGGCATGGTCAAGACGCATCCTGCGCACACCACACCGGAGAAGCGACCAGTAATCGAGAGCTTCGTCACAACAAAAGACGGCGTGCAACTGCCGTACCGTCTCGAAGGCTCCAGCGATCCCAATGCGCCTCTTCTCGTGCTCTCAAACAGTATACTCGTCGACTACGGCATCTGGGACGACTTCGTAGCCGAGTTCACAAAAGCCACAAACAACAAGTACCGCGTCCTCCGATACAGCACCCGAGGCCGCAACACGCTTCCCTCGAACTCTACATCACCTGTCACAGTCCACACGCTTACAGACGACGTCATCGCCCTCCTCGACGCCCTCCGCGTCAAGGAAGCCTCCATCGTCGGCGTCTCTCTCGGCGGCGCAACAGCACTCAACGCAGGCCTCTCCTACCCAGACCGCATCTCCGCCTTCATAGGCTGCGACACCAACGCCTTCGCACCCCCCTCTAACGCCAACGCCTGGAACGAACGCGTCGCCGTCGCCGAGAAAGAAGGTCTGACCGCCTCATCCGGCGAACCCATCGTCGGCGAAGAACTCGCAGAAGTGACAGTGCGCCGCTGGTTCGTCAAAGAGTCCTACGACGATGCGGAGCTAGCAAAGAAGATCCAGCGCGTCAAGGACATGGTTAAGACGAATTCGTTGGCTGGATTTAGAGATTCGGTCAAGGCGCTGCATCAGTATGATATTAGGGAGAAGATGGCGGGGTATAAGGGGAAAGGCGCGTTTTTGGTGGGTGCGGGGGATGGTGTGCTGCCTAAGACTATGAAGGAGAATATGGCGGATAAGTTGGGGAGTGGGGTTGAGCTTAAGGTTGTGGATGGGGCGGGTCATTTGCCTATGGTGGAGAGGCCGGCGGAGGTTGCGCAGTTTGTTGCGAAGTTTTTGGAGGGTTAGAGATGTGCATTTCGATAAGTAGAGGATCGTGACAAATACTCATCTATCTCTATCTCAAGTTAGCTGGGGGCTTTTGCTTATTGGGATCCTCACCTGGGCAACGCCGACTAACCGTGAAAAGATTAGCTCAGTAGAACCACCGAGAAATGAAACTTATATCCTCGCCTTCCGAGGTCGCGGACCCGCCATCTCCGCATCCTCTTTCCACCACTGCATTCTTCGTTTAAGACCTTTTTATTCAATTCCAGATCAGTAACAAACTTGTTCTGTCATTGGCCCCAGCCATTAGCCAACAAGACCTATTGCAGGTACTGAGGCTTTGGAAGCTACAATGTCGAATCGCGTCCGAAATGGCCGTATCGGCAAACGAAAGTCTCCCGAAAAGAAGCACAACCCGAATCTTACTCAACTATACTTCTTCAAACCCACTGCGGACAACCGGCGTTTACGCCCTTTCAACAAGACGCCTTACAAGCTTGACTTCTCCGTTCATCAGGGCCTCACCCTCGACGAGGTGGCCTGCAGGAGAGTGGGTGGCCCTGAATTTATCATCTGGGATATCCTTGGCGGAACTTTCGATTTGGCCAGTCGTCCTGACCTTGTTATCGCCCTACGCTCGCTTCCTCATATCTGGTACATAGATGAGAACTTCATGAATATCGATAGAGGGCTCGCCAGACGAGGCTTTAAAAAGGAGATCATTCCCGGATCGCACTATAAGATCTCCTGGCGTAGCGATCCCAGTCAGGTGAAATTGTCGGCTGACAAGACACCATTCGACCACTTTATAGAGATGAAATCGCCTCACGATGTAGAGGACTGGACAATGAGGCAAGAGGAGGTTAGTTTCAATGCGGAGCCCCTCGCTACTCTGCTACCTCGGGCAGCGAATACGGAACAGGGAAGGGCCTGGGATGTATATCCGATACGTCTGTCTTTTTATGGAGTGCCAGTTCGACTTGAACGCCTGTTCATTGATGATCCAGAGAAGAAAGCCACCTATCTCACTATTTCACCCGCCGGTATCACTACAAGCCCAAGCGGTCATCCTCTGAGACGACAACGATGCTTCCTTTATGTCACTATGAAGCTCGATGAGGAGGGAAAAGAGGAGGGCTGGGCAGAAAAGATGCTGGGCCTACCATTCCACTTCTCCGGGGCTTTATACAGCACCGACACCGTCGACTTGGTGGAGACTCGTTTTGAGAAAGTTGACGACGAGGCTGTCATCAAGAAAGGCCTCCGCTTCGAGTTAAGGGGCACTGTTGACAGCATCGACGAAGCCAAAATAACCGTCAAGCCAGATTGGTTGGATCGCCGAGCTTTGGAAAATGAAGACAACCGGGAAACTATGCACGTGATCTTGCAGAAGGATGTTGAAGTACCAGTGGTTGGGGATAAGTATCTGATTAAAGGCATCATTCCGCCACCTGTTCACGATCAGTGGGGGAGTAGATTCGATTTGGAGGATGGCAAGCTACCGGATGGAGTCTGGAAGGCATTTGCTTTTGATCGCATCATCGAGTAAACTGTTGTCATTATGCTCGGTGCACAATTTTAGAGAGATAGCTGTGCTCGCCTTTGTCAATGCCATCGTCGCAACTGTTTAGTAGTGAAGTTGCGGACGACATCGAGTCTTTGTTCCACGTTTCGCATCCATGAAGCCTGTGTCCATCCATGAGCCGACCGGCACCGCTTTCATATGATCAACTCTTACTCATACGAGACAAAGACGATCCCTGTGTGAGACTGTTTGGCCGATGACTCTACAAAGCTAAGACCTTGTCTATGCCGCCTTCCTATACAAGCACCGCTCTTTCGCAAACATTCTACTTCTAAAAAATCAAAGTGTTCTTCTCAAACGCAGCTGGAAATGTCAGACCGGATCCAGCACGGCCGCATCGAGAAGTCTCCGGGCAAATCACGTCAGTATGACCAGTCGTTTCTAAAGAAAGTATTTTCACGACACAATCAAGGGTATACTTTCCACCCCACGGACGAGAACAGGCGTACATTTCCCGAAAACAAGGATCGATATTTTTTCGACTTTGGCAGCTGGCGTGGCTCCTCGATTAAAGACCTCGCCCATGACTGGGATGGAGAGAGCTTTCTGGCTAACTTTGTGCTTGGCGAGAAGTTCGATTTGGAAGGTCGACCCAGCCTCATCACGGCTCTCCGTTCGTTGGATGTCAATTATTACTGCGATGATTGGAAAGTTGGAACAAAGGTACTAGAACGGGGATTTACGCGGACCTTGAGAAAGGGCTCTCACTTCTACTTTAGCAGTCTCGCAGAACATTCCAGAGTACTGCTGTCTTGTGATGAGACGAAGTATGATCAGTTCATCCATGTAACTTATCCGCCGCCTGAGCATTGGACAAGAGAAAAGACTCCTTCATTTGGGGGCGGCGTAAAGATGCCTGATGTGACTCTAGAAACGGCCACATTCGAGGAAACACTGTTTAGTGAGCTCAATCAGGCTGAGCGAGAAGAGTTGGCGCAATTCCCGATACACCTCTCTTTCCACGGCATGCCTATCAGGCTAGAGCGGCTGTTCATCGACAGCCCAGACAAGAAAGCGACATACCTGACTATAGCACCGTTCGGCTTCAAGAGCAGCTCAAGTAAGCGACATCCCCATTATCTCACAATGCGTCTCGACGAAGAAGGCCAAGATGAGGATTGGGCTGAGAAACTTCTCGGTTTACCCCATCACTTCTTAGGCGCCTACGTCAACAGCGAAACGGAAGATCTTACGTGTGCCCATATCAAGCCTATACAGGCGAACGAAATTGAAGCTGGGTTTCGCTTTGAAGTCCGTGGAAACGTTGTGAAATCGGAAAAAGGCTTTACTCATGTCGAACCAGATTGGGAGGGCATTCGGTATTATCGGTATGCATCTGGAATATGTGTATCACTCAAGAGTCTTTTTCCGAGATGCTCGCAAGAAGAATTGGATCTTCAAGTTGGACCAAATCACATTCGTGGGATAATTACGCGGTGGGATAACCGGGGATTTAGTTGTAGGGAAGATCGTCTCGAGCATGCGGTATGGAGACGCTGTGCTTCCGAACTGGAGAAAACAAAATGAGATCGAACTCTTGTAGCGCACTGAGATATCATCATTACCGTATCAATATCAATACTTACCTTCCAAACTACCCTCTACCCTCTATCCTCCCTGCCATCCAACCAGCTCGTGCAATTCACACACCTCTTCGCCTTCTCACTAATATACTTCCTACAAAACCGACATTTAACCTGCTTCTTGACGATGTTATCCCCACTCCCCCTCGAATACGCCAGTGCCACGACCCAAAGCGCCAACGCAACGACCAGGAACCTGACAATCTTGTCCAAGAACTCGCCGTAAGCTAGCACCACAGCGCCGTCATCGACAGCCTGCTTAGGGGTGTTGTAGCCGTTGGAGATGGTGGTGTTGTAGTTGGGTCCGGATTGCAGGATGGCGAACTTGGCGTCGAGGTTGCGGGAGAGGAAGGGGAGGAGCGAGATTATGGGGAGGATGATGGAGGAGACGAGGGAGTTTGCGACGGCGGTGAAGGCGGCTGCGAGGCTGGGTTGTGAGTTAGTATGGCTTATGTGGATTTTGTCTTGTTAGATGGAAGTGACATACATCAGTCCAACGGCTACTTCGAGCACGTTGTCGCGTAGGGCGAAGTTGCTGAAGCTATCCCAGGCACTGGCGGTTCGCCTTCGGATCCCCTGTTCTGCATCGCGGAGGGTTTGGTGTGTGTCTTCGTCTAAGCGCGGCATGATGGTGCTGTAGGATGTTAGAGATGGTAGGGTAGGATGTCACGGTGGGTAAGGATGTGGTGCATGGGTGGTGAAAGCTGGAGTCGCGTCTCAGGTGACGACGTCATGCCGGCCGACGCGTAGTGCGCGCACCTAGGTAACCTTGGAAGGTTCGCACTAAGCACGCGCATCAGGCTTGTACGAGCACAAGCACGGTCACATTGGCATCTTTGAAGCATACAATTGCCATCGGATATGTTCAGCAGCGTTAACTGTAATGAACATCCCCCCTTCGTTGGTAGTTGTGGCGATATGATCATCTCCACTTCAACGCCTCCCGAAACCCAGTCTACTCCACGCGTAAGCTTCCCCAGGCTGTGGTCCACTTAGCGAGACGCCAGATAGATCGGCTTTCCTTATTATCATTGCCCTGCGTCGCAGACAGCCAGGCGGCTGCAGCGCTGCGCACGACATATCCAGATCCTCCGACATGACGACGTCTTGCACATCATGCCATGCACACGGCGAACACCACATCCTTCACGATCTCGATCGCGAACAGGCGTCGCACACCCAACCTCACATTTATCTTATCCAGCCACCAATCCGCGCCGTGGGTCTCCGAATACCGACCCCACAGAGTCGGCCCTTCTACACAGGAAGCCACTCTCCTCCCGAAGACAGGCCACATGCCCAACCCACACCCCACCCCACCGTCGTAACGAGGAAACCACCAAAAAAGATTTAGACCCCGCCTGTCGCAATCACAATCACGCCAGGCAGCCTCATGATTCAGTACCATCGTCAACTATGCCGACCCCGGATCAAAGCACTCCGCCGCCTATCTCGCGCCGCGTGACCCTGTGCGGCACGCCATAGTAAGATCGCCGTCCTATCTGTAAGGGTCAAAAGGGTACATCGTCCAAAACGCAGGGTCTTGCCATCCGAAGCGGATGGAAAAGCGTGGACATGACAAGTGGTCACGATACATCAGGTCATGTTGTATCAACTTTGGGAAAGGTAAGCTGTGTACATGTGTAGATCTCTTCGCGTAAAGCACACCAAAAAAAGATGCGCGGTGCAAAATACCCTTTTTCTGCGATAATGTCGGCACGCTGCGCTTCGTGAATGGAGGAAGTGAGGGGTAAAGAATCCGAAAACGTGGTTGGTGAAGCTGATGGATATATGCCGGTAAATGTTTCTTGGGCACACTTGCTCATGCAACATGCGCAGTGCACGAGGCTGCATGCAAGATACAGAACAAAGCGGTATGGCTAGTCCTTGTTGGAGTAATGGCAGACGAAAATCACGACTTGGTCTGCTGCAGGCAATCGTGAGGCTGAACGGAAGACGAGGAAGAAAAAAAATTGAGTTGGCTGGTACGATAAGATTATCTTCGCCTCTGTAGCGGTGGTGCCGGGAGACCCGATTATTCCTGCTGTGACAGTCGCCGCGGAGGTTTTTCGGATGGTTTAGGGTTGGAGCGGTAAGCGCGCGAAAGAGGGATGTTCGCTGCTGGCGTGTGGATGGGTAATTTGGGCGCTGTTGGTGGTTTTTCGCTATCGTGGGTTATGCGGCGTGAGGTCACGGTACTGCACGCTTGTCTCTTAGTCTGCAGTAGTCGCGTTTTCGGGTGGGGGATGGTTGCGTGTGCTCGACTCAGTATATCGCCGACGGAGGTTGTCAATGGAAGGGGTTGGCCCGTTGCGTTTGATGAGGTCGTCATAGCAATATCACCGAGCCAAGTGCGAAGGAGGGGATGAAGCTTGAAGATATTATGAAGTGGAATTTGTTTGTTGTTCGATCGCTATCATGCTGCCGCGGCACGCAATGCAGTACAGTATGTGTAAATGCTCAGTAAAACACCGCCCAATGCGTGTAACCATAAAAATGCAAGCCCGTGGTATACCAAAAACGCCTTCCAATGCTGGGTGTAAAGTCAAAAAGCCACCAACGCCGCGCAATGCTGCGTATCCAACCCCTACCCCATGATGCACCTTTTTCTCTATCCCGCCGTACTACCGTGCTACAAGATCGACTCTCCCGTTACCGAGTCAACTCGTGCTCTTGATTTTGATCGGGTCGATGACCTCCGGCGTTCTGCGCCGTCCTTGGGCTTCCTCGTCTTTGCGCGACGTAGCGCAGGAACATCCTCCTCTTCAGATTCGTCTACAGTGAACAGGTCTGGGCTGGGTTCTCTCCATGAGTGGCGATGACCCGATAGTGTGCGCGAGTACCGGCGACGGTTTTGCTGTTTGCGGGTCGCGAGATCCTGTGCGCGGCCTCGTGATGGTTCAGTGATTCTGATCCGTGGAGGGCTGAGCTGAGACACAACTTGTGGCGTGTCGTTCAGTCGATCGTCATCGAGCCCCATGAAAGACTCCTCCTCGTCCTCTTCGTAGATGGTAGGCGCGTGGTACTGAGTGTGGAGCTGGCTGTGGTTGTGCTTGACATATCGGGTCCACTTGTTGGCGAGGTTGGACTTGAACTTGGAAGACTTGGTGGTGCGCGGTCCTTCCTGGACGTCGATGCCTGCGCTCAGGGACAGCTCGTACGGGTCGTCAGCCTCGGTGATGGGTGGTGAGATGAAGTGCGAGAAGGGGTCTTCGTCGATGTCCGGAAGATCGTTTTCATTAGTGTCGTCGCTGCCGTTCTCGACCCATGGTGGGAAGGAGTAGGCGCGAGGGGTGCTTCGTAGATAGGAAGGCATTATTAAGAGGAAGTCCTTGAATTTCCGAAGGAGCGATGAACGTCGAACAGGCAGTGATGGCTTAGCGCTTGATTCAACCTTGACAAAGGCGATGTGACCGAGAATGGTGTTCGTTCCCCCGGCTCCTGGCCGGTCCTTCCTGAAACAGCAGCTCGCGAACGCTCGGTGAAGAGAGTTCACAAGTGGTGCTGGTAGGAGATTTTGGTGGTAGGTTCGCCAGTGGTGAGCGGCGCACGCAAGCTATATATGCGTGACTTTTGGGTAGGCGTCTGGAAGAGTCACGAGTGGGCGGCGTGGGAGAGGCGACGAATATGAGACAATGCGAGTGCTGCCTGGGGAGTGTTTGCCTGGGAGAGGGCAATGCAAGAAGCGACAGTTAGTAGGAACCGTGGTTTATCCTCCGCGAGATGTCTGGGTACGGGATGCATATTCTGGAGGATTCCTTGGGTACTTATGTTGACAGGCGAGCGAAGCAGCCGGAAGAGGAGCCCTGCATGTGCAGTGCATGCGCATTAGCGTGCGGTGTGGATGAGAAGCTTAGTGCAGCGTGAGCAGAATAGGTAAGGATCCCAGGGCGCAAAGGAATGGGTGACAGGCAGAGTGATGGCGGACGGGCCACATGAGATGGTTGGCGGCACACCATCTCGGTGTAGGATGACCTGCAGGCTGCACGCGCGCATTGGCCACTAGGTGTTGCGGACTCGACGGCCGTTAATGCAGGACTGACGATCCATGGAGTGCCGCTAGATATCAAACTATGGCCAGAGACTGAACAGCGCGATCGTGCAAATTGCAGCGAGCCGTCACGACGACTGGCGACACTAGGCGTCGAGGGTGGAGCCAAAGGCCCGAAGACACTACGCAGTCACGATACAGCGCTAGCGGCGGGGCAGATCACACCAGCATACCATCACAACCTCGACGTTCCCACTCAGCCTCATTTCAGGCTTGCCTCTTTTGGTCCATCATACACCCTCTTCTGCTCACACGCCGCTCGCTCGCGTCGCTGAGAGGCCACGACGGAACTGCTTAGAGTCCCGCTACATCCGCCCTGCCACGCTCGTCGTGAGCATGACGAGGCTGCTTGCGTGAACCTTTGTTCTGTGCCTGCAGCCGACGCTCGACTACACCGAACCCGGTGGCGTTCCTCCAGAAATGTTTCATCAAAAGGTCATGGATAGGGTTTCAGCTCCGTGGATGATTCAGCTGATGCGGCTCCAATACACCACACTGACAAACTACATTAACTTTGGATCACCGTGACAATTGCCACTATTGAAGCCTGGCACCGTGGTCTGCCTACACGGAGCATTACCCGTATCATTCGACAACCTGGGATAACGCGGCAGCACCTTCCGGCTCCACTATCCAGTTCTCCATTATTTTGAGATTTCTACTGTTTTCCCAGATTCCTCCTTACAACCGCGATACGGCCCGATTTTGCTTGGGCTCTACAAAAGATGGAATGACGTAGTTTCGCATACACACGACCCTCCTGTTGGGCTTTGTAATGTTACAGTCACCGTTTTCTGACGTTGCGGTCAACGTCGACGATAGTCGCACACTGTAGACGTGGGTAACGCGGTTCCCGGGCGCCAATTTGGGCGTGCGCCTCAATATCTGACTAAGAACTCTATCTCGCCCACCGCAGTGTCACCTGAACCCTGATGCCGCCTGACGAGTCGGAGTCGCCTGCGTTCTTGAATTTCAATGCGTCCCGCTCGCTAATGCTAGCAGACGAAGTCTTGGGAGCTCACGTTCAGCTCTCGAGACGAAGTTTTGTGCGCCTCATGGCTGTTCAAGTTCCAAATGATGTTCGGCGTGCACGAGTTTGTCGCGGTTGGGTATTCAAGAACACTACCTTGTTGGGTGGCTGGGGGCAGCTGCGACAATCTCGGCTCCTCTTTCCAGATGCTACCACAAGTCGCTTACGCCATTAATGAACTGCTTCGACACGGGATTGGACGCTTCTACAGTTTCTCTCCTAATGCGAACCAAACAACGTTCACGAATAGAAGCTCATTGTTTTCCTTCGAAGCGTGTAGTCTTCCCTGGCATGTCGGCTTCTAGGCGTTGTTATTCGCAGCGCTTCCTCCCTTGACTGCATCACGTCTTACCAGATCTGGTGGACTACAACACAGCATGCCCTAGTAGCGCTCTCTACGCAATTTGCTTTTTTCCATTCAAATCATTGGGTCCTTAGTCTACACAAATCGACCGATGCAGTGGCACGCGTACCGTGATCTACCACTCACCGCTGGGACGACCCCAGCAAGACTAGATTTCTTCACAACCCGTCTACATCCTCGCAGAGTCCGTCCCTCAACGTCCTTCACGATGCATCTCCAAAGCCATTCACCGCCCTACACCGCCCTTTCCGCCATGCCTTCCGCGATACGATCTACGAGGCGCGAGCGC